GAAAGGAGGGAGGAGGGGAGAGGAGCAGGAGAAAGGATGGAGAGCGAAGAAAGATGAGCGAAGAGGAAAGTAGACAATCTTAACACTTCTGCATTAAGAGCTGTGTGTTTTAGCTGCTCTTCTTTTGAGGAATAGCCCCATTTTGCCAGGCTACTCCAGGGGAAATGGGGCAATACTGTGAGCTTTATGGTGTAGAAAATGCCCTTATGCCACGATAGGAATGGGGAAATTGGTCTGCATATTGAAAGAATACGGTACTGGAATACACTAAACATGTAAAAGCATGTTTAAACAGTGGACAAAATGAGCCAGAATGAAAGTCAACAGCACGAATGACAAAAGTCACATGACCCAGGATTATTGCGCAATAAAAAGTTAAGATGGAAAGTCTAAAAGAAAACTACAGCATCAATATTTCTGGAGGAAAAATGCCTGTTGGCCACTGAGTAAAGCCAAGTATGTGTCATTTCTGTGAAGAGATGACATTGCTCACAGTGAGCGGTATTTTAACAAAAAACAAAAAAAAACATCTGTATTATGCAATGATTTTAAATTTAAATTCTGAAAAATATCTTTGTTTGGATGTCCTCAACAAGTGGCATGGAAAAGAAAGTTGAATGCAGTTTTAAGGCATTTGTGTATATCTATGTATGACACAGAATCTGACAATGTAGTGAGGATAAAGTAAAATGAACAAAGTTGATGTATGTGGTGCTTCAAAGCTCACATTGTTCTTCTTTCCCAGGCAGCTGCAGGTACAGAAACGACCTTACACTAGCCTTTGTGGGGGCTCATATTAAAGACCTAAATGTGTGTTGTGTTGCCAGGTGTGCAGCAGTTGTATGGGACTCAGTGGAGTTTTAACGCTTGCATTTTATTGGTCGCCGCTGACATCACCAAGGGAACCAAGTGGAATTCCGGCACTGTGTGCAAGTAAAAAAAAGAAACACAAGAGGAAAGAGAGGATGACCCTGCTGTCCTGTCTGTGTGTGGGACGATCAAGGGAAGATGGAATTAACCTTAGTCTGGGAAGTACTTTGTGATTTTGTGCTTTTTTGGTTCTAGATAATGGTTCCTATTGGTCTAGATATGGTTTTGTACTGCTATTGGAAACATTTTCAGTCAGTCCCAGTGTAAACATTAAGGATTACAAATGATTTATGGTAAAAAAATATATATATATTTCTAAAAGTGTTGAATAATAAAAAAACTTTATTATGGTATTTGAGTGAGGGGTTCACAATTTTGGCTAAATATAATATTTTCAATAATTCTAACCAACGTAAAAGTTGTGATGCAATTTTTGCTATGTTAAATTATGTTTAAAAAGTCTAATTTTAAAATGAGTAAAACTATTGCTTAAAATGCATAAAAGGTTTATAGAGTTCCTACTTATTTCTAGTAGAAATAAACAATTCACTGCTAAAATGTGATATATACGTATGTATAAAACCTTGAATTGAGAAGTGTCTGACTTTTCAATGCTTCTGCCCAAAAGATTTTTTATTCATTGACAAATCTTCCAAGACTAAAAGAAATATCCCAATCGTGTGTCCCTTTTTTTGGAAAGCATATTTTTCCATTTGATAGTGATTAATCATGCAGCCCTAATTTGAGTCTCTTACAGATACAGTCCAAGCATGTTATTTGAGTCCATTACAGATCACTTATGTCCTAATATTATATCACAGTTTCTTGGAACTTGGCAACAAAAGTTTAATCCTCACTTGCTTGGACTAGAACAAGTGAAACTACTGTACTTGGAGTTACAGCAGACTGTTCCGTCTTGTTTTCCACAGCCCCAGTGGCTCATTTGTGTAACAGAACACATAGAAGGACAGTGGTGTGTGTCCGAGGAGCGCGGCCGGGGCTTTGACAAAGGGCTTGACAGGAAGCTGCTAATCCTTGATCTGCACAATATCTCAACAATGACCGCATCGAGAGACACACATACACATAAACAGTTGTGCCGCTTACCACCCACAGAGACCAGAGGGAAACAGTCAAGTACTCCATTTCAATACAGTACGTGCAAACAAGTGCCCTCTGACCAGTTCAAGGAAGACTTTGTTTTTAGAATGTATTCAAAGAGGCAAGTTAATATCATAAAGACATTAGATAAAATAGATTTCAGGTAAACACATGGCTATAATCACAAGTAATGCAACTCTTTAGCTTAACAAAAATGTAAGTTGTAATGTAGCCAATGTTTTATGGCACAATGTAAATCCTTAAAAAGATAATATCATTATTATTATTAATGGATTTAACTTACACACATTTCTATGGGAAAAAAGCAACATTCCTCCCTTTTCAGACCAGCCCTAATATTAGTGACAGTCTTTCTATTGGGACATCATTTACTCGACAAGATAGTCAACCTTACTGTATTTCAAGTAAATTTCACTTTACCGACTATTACTTCTCAACGTAAATCCAAACTACACCACAAGTGATTCTCTGTCCTTCATTGCAGACAGGGCACGGACTGGACATTGCCACCGGGGCAGGGACAGTGCTGTGTGGCTCGGTTTAGTGTGTGTGAGAGTGACAGGGAGGCAACATGAGAGCGACAAGCCTTTTAACATCTGGCTAAGTGCTGACAGGACGGTGCACAGAGACACACACACATATGCACACACAAGCTCGCACACATGGGCAGGACTCAGGAGGAGGCTGGGAGGAGAGCCGGTCCCAAGCCTAATTATTAGAACACTCTTACTTAACTTAACCCTGCCACTGGACCGTGACAGGCAAGAGATCGAGAGAGGCGGGAGGAGGGTAGATTTTTGTAAGGACAAGGAGAAGAAGGATGAGCAAATCTGTAAAGGATTTTGTTAACCCCAAGAGTACTGCCGCATCAGCAGAAATATGGAACGAAGGTCGAATTGCAGAGTTGAAATACTTAAAATGCTGGAGTGTATGTTATAATCATTCATTCATGTATTAAAGCTGAGGTAAGAAATACATGTTTTTTTTAATAAAATGAACAAATCAGACCACAACATGCTATCTTTCTATTATTAGAAACATGTTTTGCCTACTTAAGAGATTCATATGTCGTTATTTGAAGGTTTGGGCAAAGAGCTGATTAGCTGAGTGAGGGTGGTCTGCTCTTTCCTAAAAAATTTACAGGCCAAAATACATGCGGGTGAAAACTAGAGTGAACGAGAAACTAGATAGGTATAGGTTATTTTTAATATGAATGAATAATTTGTATGCATAGTTGTAAAGGTAACATACATTACACAGTATTTTCTTCTGAATTCTTCATGCATTTTTATGATCAGAAAGGAGCAGATAAAATAATATAACTCGTATATTTATAACGACATTTGTGGTGATTCTAAAGTTAGGTACCCCAGCTGCAAGACACTATGGCGTTCACATTAATAAACAGCACAACAACGTGGGAATAAATTGAACAGACTAAACTAAAACAAGGCAGAAGTTAAGTTTACATCAAGACAAAACCGGGTTCAAACCAGGACTTAACTGTTTGCTTTTCTCACCAGATCCCAATCCAGTGTCCACTCTCCAGCCATAAAAGACTACAGTGTGGAAACAGGGCTTTAACAGGGCTCCTAAAGTAATATGCAAATAATATGAAAAGTACTGCGCACAGATGTTGCTGTGGTTACTAAGTGAAAATGAGAAAAAGCTTTAACTTCTTCCAAAAGAAACAATAAACATGACATGTGCTATGGAAAAAGAAAAACAAACAAATAAAAGGCCAAAGATAGACTGGAAGGCAAAGTATGTTTTAACAGCTGGGTGACACAGTGGAAAAATGCATGGGGAATCTTCCAGGGCCATAAGTATTTCAATCAAAATCTTTGTTTTGAGCTTATTATGAGACAAAACAAGTGCATTTGTCTTGGCCACATGTCGCCCGTGGATATATCTTTGGTGGGACATCTTAAGAATTCCTTTGCTTTTATTTCGGTTGAGCAGCTGGAATCTGCATTTCAGCTCAAACATCTCTTTTCCTCTTCATCATACTCCCTGTTTCATCCTTTCCTCTTCTTTTTTGCCTCTGTCCTCCTTCGTTTCTTTGGCTTCTCTCACTAAAAGAATCCATCGTTTGATCGCTACCAGGAATCTAACATTTGTCTTCCATCCTTTATTTTTATAGTATAATTTTGTATTCTGCCAGTTTGGGTTGATTTAGAGGGACAGACAGATCAACTCAGACAGTATGTTTCTGGTTTAATCTAAATGACTCAATACAAATGTCTCTTATTAAAGAAATCGATGTATGACTAACAACCTATTGAGACATGAACATTTGCAGAAAACATGAAAAACTAGTTATTAAACTTGGGTGGGGCAGTTTTAATGATTGTTATGTTAATAATAAGCAAATTCAGTGTTTCATCATCAGTGTATCATAACAAGCCTTTCTTACTTTTTTCCAGTTTTGGCTCAGTCCAACAATGAACACATTTTGTCCAGGAAACAAATAAACAGATGCAAAAGAGCAAATTTTCCCTAAAGAAACCAATGACTGAGATTGATAAAACAGTAATGTCTGATAACAGTTCATTCATACAACAGTAGAATGCGTTGGATTCCAGGGGTGCATGAAAGACACGTGCCCTGCTAAGGATACACGAGCCAAAAAAGGTTGGGAACCACTAGACTAATTGACAAGCACGTCAGGAAACGTGAAAAGCAAAGAAAGGCGAACGTGCAAGAGACACACTGACACGTCTCCAAAAACATCCGATCCTTTTCACAAACAAACAGCTGCGTCTTCTGCAAGAGGCTGCAAGCTTTATGTCAACAACCCCATTAATTCCAATCACACAGCCTATTAGCCTCTCCTTTTTAACAGCAAGCACAAACTTTCTCTGCATAATTTTGAGCACATAAAACCTTTTGAATGCAGTGATTGTAATAGCTTTTACAATGACACGACATGCCTAGTCCTCTTAAGGCATGATGGGGCCTTTATGTGGCGGTTTAGCGGATGACAGGTTAGCGGGTTGAGCTAAGAGCTAACGTGCCTTCAGGTGCAGAGGGGGGATTTGAGAGGGCTTATTGAAGAGTCGCCCACGGGTGCTCTGAGTGCCTGCACTAGGAGCCGCACAAGTACAGGCAGAGATGGGGTAAGACGTTCACAATCATTCTTCTGTTAAAGAGGTGGGGGAAATGGACACTGATGACTTTGTGTCAAAATGGAAAAGTTGGAAGCACAGTTCAATTGTATGGGTGGTAAAATTAAAGATAATATTCAAAATGTATGCATAAGTATTGTATTGACACTGAAAATACAGGTGAAACTCGGAAAATTAGAATATTGTAATTCAGCATATTCTGGAATTCAGCAGAAAATGCAAAACCAATATGATATAGACTCATTGCACGCAAAGTGATATATGTCTCTGTTTTTTTTATAATTTGGATGATTATGGCTTATAGTCCATTTTACAAGTATTCTTTTTACAAGCTGAGTGCCCATTATCAACATGATAACAAACAAAATCTTGTTTTTGTGCGCGTCATCAGTCTATATCATATACGTTTCATATTGAACGTTTAATTACTTAAGTAAGAGACTTTTGAACAATATTCTACTTTTATTCAATATTGATGATTATTAGTTTTTATTGACATGAATTACAACTATTCATAAATCATCTTGTGTTTAAAAAAGTAAATAAACAAGGGCATTTGAATATGTTGTGTAAGATTATCAAGCACGATTGGTTGTCTTGCTTGATATGATCTTGATTTGTGCTTTTGATCATAACAGTGATTTGTATCACTGTTGGACCCATTCATAAGCTTTCATAGCTTCCTTGAGTGTTACAAATATTCAGTGTATCTGTAATCTGTGATGTTGTAAAGAATAACGATGGAATTTAATTGAATTGTAAGGCAACACAATAAAGAGCCTACTGTATTATGGTAGAAACTGCAATTTATAATCCCATATCAGATCATAAAGACACTAGATAAGATTTACATCACGGAAAATGGCCATTCAAAGTTCATCAAATGATCAAAGTTCATCAACTAATTATCTCAACTTATTTGCTTCTGTATGAACCTCGGGGATGCTGCTTAAGCTCGAATCTGCGGTGTGAAGTTGTACGAGCACTTTTCTCATGGGATTGAACTGAAGAAGCATTGTTTGTGTTCTCATCTTTCCCGCATTGCCCAAAAACTACTGGAGGATAACCCACAATTCCTTGCAGAAGCTTATGCGCTGTATATTCAATTGCATTAGCAGTCAGTAGCAGCAGTAGCAGTAGTAGCAGCAGTGGCTACTTGTGCCAAGATTTAACCTGATTAGATACAGATCCAGCTGTTCCAAAAGAAAGCACAAACAGCCTGTGTTCCCATCTCCTGTCAAGTGTTGATTATATTGTACATGTTTTTCAATTACGGGTCCACAGAGCAGCTGTATCGCAGGTGCTTTGGCAGAGTTATTTGGCAGAAGTGGTCCTGCTGCCTCATCAGTAAGTTTAACATCTATTTGAGCACACACACTACTCGTACCCAAACTGCCTGCATATTGTAAGTCCTCTCTGGATGCAGTAAGAAGAGCCGATTTTGTCCACTGTTCTGGGAAAAAACTTGCTCTAGTTTCTGATAGTATAGTCTAAAAGGCTTATGAACTCATGGTGGTGAATAATTTGTTTCAAAGAGAGGTATTTGTTTGGAGTTCTGGTCACACAAGGTCACATACTTAAGCACAGAGATTGATCTACTATTTTCGACTATGTTGTCTATCCACATTTCTCATACTGTCTAGGTTTAGCAGCATGTAATCAAGAGATGAAGACTCCTTTCGCCGCAGACAACATGACTATTATTACTGCTGAATAAAGTTCATCAAGCCGTCTTTGTGTGACGTATAAGCTCAATAAACCTGCCATTCCTGCAATTAAATGCAGGATATATGCATTATTTAACACTAAAAAAGTTTAAAGTGTGATGTTAAAGATGATGTGTTCAACTAGAAAGACTTTGACAGTTAAGTGTAATTTCCCCAATTTCTTTCCCTCCTTCCATCATCCCCGCCTCTTCGACCCTGCGCGTTCTTCTCCTGCGGTGGTCTTTTTATCGGATCAGTCTCAGGTCGCCGCCTCTGCTTCTCATGTGTTCCATCAAGGATTCACCGCTCGCGCACAAAAGCTCCAAGATATTGGGAAGGACAGGGAGGAGTATTAAGGAAATGAAGAGGAGAGAATGAATGACAAGGCTGAAGAGTGCCAAAAAGTTGAACGATTTTCCCCTCTAAATTAAACGCTATATGCACGTCCCTACCACTCCAAATTTGTCACCCGTATTTGCTGCAGTTGGTGACATGTGTGTGATCTATCAGCACTTGGAAAGCTGCTTGTGCGTCTGCAGGAGTGCCGCAATGTTTGTGCCTGGAACTCTTACAACTTGCATGGGGACGGTGTGCCAAGGTTGGGGATATGTGGGTAAATCTTTTGGCATCAGCTCTGCCAGTGTGGAGCAATGATGAATGCTGATGGCAAAGAGTGCAACCGGGCCCTCAAGCGCGAGCACACACACATATATATACAGACTAATCAGATTCTCAGTGCGTGAGGGCCAAATGGCAGCTCTCTACTGGTGAATGCTAATGTGAGCACTGGAGCTTCGTGGAACAACCAAACAGGGGCCAGGAGAGATGATGACAAGAAAACATAGATAGGATTGCTTGCTGCTCTGTGTGAGGCAGTTGTGGGGTTGTGTTCACACTTGGAACACGTTGAAACAATGGCACATATAGGTTGTAAGTGGTGTTGTGTACATGTGAACTTTCAGAGTGACTGTTTTATGTAAAAGTTGAAGAAAAGACATTGACTTACAGCGTTCGATGCGGTCTTCTGGGCTGGACGATGTCTCTCGGTCTGACAAAAGGCCCGACACGGCGAAGATCTTTTTCCCGCTCTCCTCCACGGCCTTCAGAGCGCTGCTGGGAGAGCCTCCGGTGGGGATCTGGGAACCTCCAAAGTCGTACTCTTTGCCCTCAGCATCAGAGTATCGCAGGTGGGGTGAGGCATCTGGGTCTAAGCAGCCTTTGAGTCTCTTGGCAGGAGTGAATGCAGACTGATAGCCCCCTGGAGCTCCATCACGGTCCTCTGGAGATGCAAAGGGCCTAAAGGCACCGACCCCACTGTGGTTGAGCATGCTGATGGGAGAGCAGTCCAGGTTTGGTGGAGCAAATTGATGGTGCAGATGGAGCAGAGAAGGGGGAAAGTCCCTGTTGGGGAATCCAGGGGGGACCGCACCTTGGCGATGGTACATTGAAGCAAAGGTGTAAGAGCCATTGTTGAAAGGCAAATGGACATCTTTCTCAACTGAGACTGGGACTCCAAAGGGCCGTGGCTGTTGGCAGGGGATTGAGGCATCTCTGGACGCTTCAGCTGTGGAGGCCAGGACCATGAGAGCTGGAGAGGCCAGGGGATTGGGCAGGTAGGAGGAGCTCTCCATTTTGAACGCTGCTCGGTGGAGGTCCATGACTGCTGATGATAATTTTTAGAACTAAAAGTAAATGGTTTGTGTGTCCACGACCCTTTAAAGGGTCTAAGGTGGTCACTTCAGATTATGCAAAAATCTATGTTGCAATATCTAGACAAAATTATTTCAACAGCGTTATCCTAAAAATATGCTGCATTCAGATTAGCATTTCATTTCTTAAATAGGTCTTCTGTGAGGTTCACTTGAGATGAGTTCCATTCCATAAAGATAAGTGCTTTGGGGATAGATATTCTCTTTGCTTATTTCAGATTAGTTTTTGTTTCACTGTATGTACCAAGAGCATCTCAAAATGTCCTCCAGATGATTTCACCAAAGTCTTCGGGATCCCTTTTCTTCTGGTCAGCACACTGATGGAGAAAAGACAAAACAACAAAAATTACTATTTTAGGTTGTCACACGTTGACAGTGTTTTTTTTTTTTCATTTTTCTCCGATAATGAAACAATTTGTATTCAAAACAAAAAGGAAATAATAAAACATCTGAAAAGTTCCATAAAAGTTTGCAGTGACAGATTATACATCTCAAATAAATGTCATTGGAAGTCTAAAAGTATTTGGGATGAACACAAAGCCTTTAGTGATGCCTCTGAGAACATGCTGTTCTTAAGAGGACTGTTGTTAAAGCTACAAATACAGGCCCACTTGGGGAAAAGTGTCCTCAAGTTGACACTGTTGATCCAATCCAGTAAATCCCTGTCCTTTGGGGGGAGCACATTTCAAACCAAACTTGTGCCTCACTGTTGCTGTCCTCAGTCTTTTTTTTCCATTAAAGAACCCTATAAACGCTGTCCACGTCACATATCCTGACCCCTTTGCTTTCTCATTTTTTTCCAAACGTCCCTTTTCTGTCCTCCATCCTCCCTTTTTTCAGCTCCTTCCAGTATCCTGCTCTCTTCCTATCTCTCCTCTGTCCTTTCCTCATCTTAGATCTAGTTTTAAGCCGCTTATTCCTACCATCTCTCCAGATCTTATTGGACCAGAACCACTTGACTTGAGATAAGGCCACACACACACAGAAACACACTTTAACCCACACATCTGATAATGTCGATGCCTCTACACTCAGATGGGCTGACACACTCTATGCTATGGATATCTCTCAATCTAACCTCTTTTAATTCCACATTTTTCCTTGCCTTTCCTTCCATCTCTGCCATCAATCTCACCTCTTCGCATCCCTTCATCTCTGGTAATTTGCTTGCCTATCCTATCCCCCGAGTGATGGAGATGGCTGATATCATATCGGACCTCCCCATCTGTTTCCTATGAGCCGAAGGAAATTTGACTGAGTGAATAAATTAGCCGTACTTGACCCCGCGGCCCCCCTGGCATCCGTGGCAACCGGCTGCGATCTCGCCTCTGGGGATTTAGATCAGAGGTGGCGATTGGTCGGTCAAAGACAACGCAAGAAAGAGCAGATCAAACGACAAGGTTCATTTTACAGATTTTCATTCCTCAAGGGGGGATTGTAAGGTGAAGCGTGAAGAGTTTTACGGGAATGTGAGTAAATAAGAGACCAATTTTAGGGCAAACTTTATAAGAGATAATGTACTACAAAATCAATAACAGAAATAAGTTGATTACAACTATGTAAATAAATGTTTAAGCTCAATAGAAAGTGTCCTAGATTCAGGAGTTCAAGAAGAAATTCTGCTAGCTTCTCACAATGTTTCCCTGTATTTTCATTCTTCGGGCAGTGGACAGTTCCAAATATGCGACGTCAACAAAGAACAAGATTCACTGTCGATGGACCAAAGAATGACAGGGCTTCCCTCTCGTAGCAACCATTCTTTGGCAAGAAATTGTTTTTTTTTTTTATTTCTTTCTGATTTTAGTATGCCTTAATCTTGTATAAAGTTTCAGGACTACACCCTTCGTCTTTGTCAACAATTTCTCAAAAAACTGGTGTCTAACTTCATTTGTTGAGGTGATCTATGAAAGTGTTTCTTGACCTTTGCTCTTTCAGATCTCACGTTGCATTTCCACTTCCATAAATACATAGCAAAACTATACAAACAGGATTCAACAACAACTAAACCAGGACCAAACCAGGACAAGTGAAAGAATACGGCCTGAATCAACCCTGGTGGAATTTGACAAGGTTAAATCTGTCATCTACGTACACTGCATGTATTTGCTGCTACCATCTCATCGTATCAAGTGGGCTACGAAGGCTGCATTGACCAGGAGGCAACATCAAAGTAGAAACTCCATGGGAAATAAAAGAAGAAAATCTTTTATAGCTATCAGCTGTCCACAACACTCATTCAAATCAATTCCCAAACCTGATCTGAGTGTTGGCACCCTCAGCACCCACTCTGACTGACACTTACACACACACACACACACACACACACTGTACCCACCGACAACTGCATAGAGGAGCAGAGATTTGAGATGTTTTACAATACCACAAATGTACAGCGGCCCAGTGCGGCGTGTTGAGAAAGGGTTGATGCTAACATGACTTTGGTCTGGGCAGATGCCACAGAGTCAGGTTACACGCCACTCTTCCATTACCTACACCCGACCGACTCACCACAATGCATCCTGGGAAATAACACCTTGAAAGCCATCCCTGACGAATACGAGATTATGAATGTTATGTGAAGTAGGTATATCACAAATACTATATGTCCCAACAGAAAGAGGCTTGTAAAAGTAAAATGTTGTGAACAAATCAGATTTCTAAAACATATTTTGTGTAATCAAAGAAAGAGCCTTGTAAGTCACTATTTGACTCTTTTGGGCTGAAAATTGGCTGAGTGAGGGTGGTCCTCTTTTTTCACTTTTATGTTTACAAAATCTGATCTAAATAAGTGAAGCTAAAATTACATGCATCTGAAAACTTGACCAAACATTTTTGAGAACTCAGAACTCTTTAGGTATAACGGAAATACTGTACAATAGAAATATATACCAGTAAGTAGAAATTAAGAATAAGGAGTGACTTTAGCATTTAGAAACACATTTTACACTGTGTTGTGCGTGCCTTGTCCCAACCCATTTAAAAGCGTTGTAATTATACATTTTAAAACCTCCCCATTTCCATATGTACGTCCAAACTGGAAAAGAAAAACTCGCAACTCAACTTTTCCCATAATTGTTACGCTGCCTCCCTCACCTTGCTGTCCTTCCTCTGTATTCACGCGGTGTCTCGGTTTCTCCTGTGTAACCTCTAAAGTCTGAGTGTGTCTGCAGTGTTGATAGCGAGGTAATACACTGATAAGTACAGGGATATTTCAATTTTATTATCATTACAGCACAGGCCTGAGAAGCGCGAGTCGAGAGGGCCGCAGCGTCAGGAAGCAGCCAATCCAATAACAGGACACCGGATATTCACTACAGCAGAAAGGGCACGCCTTTAGATCAGCGCAGGGACGCAGCAGTATATCAGCCACTGTCTGCATTCGCTTCTCCTCAAACCTTTGCTCCGTTGGCTTACGTTTTGTTTTGCTCTTTTACTTTTACTTTCTCACGTCCTCAATTATAATCGGAATATGTTGAAATCAGTGATCAAGACTAGGGCTGCAGCTAACAATTATTACTTAATAATAATAACAAAGCTAATAATTATTAGCTTTGATTAATGAAGTAAGCTATTAACTGTACTACATCATTGACTGCATAATTTTTTAAGATATATTTTTGGAGTAAACAAAGCAATCGAGGTTTTTCATGTATAAATAAGGGGCAGAAAAGAAGTGCGATTGATGTGCAACAGTTTCACATGGTTTTAAGTAGATGTAAATTGATGATAAGAAGCAACTAATTTGTAGCCAAAGCATTTTTTGTATTCAATTATTTAAAGACGCCATATTGATCTTTCCTTTTTTTAGTGTTTGTTGTAGTAAAAAAGAGCTTAGAAAACTGAGGGATTCATTCTAAGTGCATATTATCAGTAGTGGCAGAAACATAAGGAAAGAACGTAGAAAAAAATAATCATTTCAGATCAACAAAGTTTTGTAAATAATTTCCAAAGTCCCAACTCTGAACAAACAAACTGCGTCCGGACGTCTTCCCTCAATGACAATGATCATAATGCTAAATGACATACAGCAATGCATATCATCAATATACAAGCGCAATTACATCTCACGGGCGTCTGCATAATGTCACTCGCTGCCACTTACAATCCCATTTGCCACCCACACATTGTCTGACATTGGCTATATGCATTTTATAATAGAAAATGTCATGGGGGAACATTTACCGTGCTGTCATAATTTGATTACATTGTGCAAGAATGATACAGCTGTCAGAGCCATATTAAACACAAACACAGACGAGGCCGTTTCATGTCAAATCTGCACCTTCACTGACAACGTTATAGCTGCCACCCAAATTGCGATGTCAACAACAATGTACGATAACATCATTCTAAAGGATATTTACACTCCGGGAATATGAAGGGAGCCACTTGTGTCATAACTGTGGCTATAAACATTATTATTATATCTAAATACCACCCTGTGATTTATTTGTAAGGCTGTACACTTTTTTTTGTGGTTGAGAGACAGTGGGGCAGTTTCAATGAAAGTTTCCATTGCGGTGACATAAAAAATATGACTATTTACAATTTCAAATAGAAAATTAAGTTAATAGGTTATTTTGGATAATTTTGTACACACATATAATAGAGGGATGAACACTAAACTGGCCATGTGTTAGTCCAGTCGAGTTGGAATGAATAGATAGTTGTCTGTACATGACTTGTTTGAAACTGCTTTATCAAAATGCATGGAGCCTATACTGTCACATCCCATTTCCAAGTATGTCTGCTGAAATGCGGAGAAGAATCCAATTTTGGTTATAAAAATGCCTCTTGGTCCGTGACTAGCGCGTGCAGTGTGTGAGAGAGGGGGTAAATTGTCAGGAATTGCTCAAGTTTTTCCCTTCAGTCTAATGGAGACAAAGAAAAAGCATCAAAACAGCAGCTTCCCGGCCTGAGGATATATTTACAGATTGTTGACAAGCGTG